AACTGGAGCCAGACCAGAGTTCTCCATCAGGGCTTCCTGCTCAGCTGCGGCTGTCCTAAACAATGCAACAAACAGGCGTGCACTCATGCGCACACACAAGTTTTTCTAAAATTCTACTGAAGGGCTAGGAGAGTGTCTCGGTGCTAAGAGTGTTTGCTGAGCGTGCATAAGGTCAGTTTCCAGCACTAGGGGTGGGAAAGGGATGAGGTATCACGAGAAAGAAGAAAAACAAAGACAAAACACCCCTTCGACGTGTGAGTTCCTTCTGGACATGGTGGCACATGCCTGTAATTTTAGGGTTTGGGAGGTAGACCCCAGAGAGTCACTAGTTCAAGACTAGCCTGGAGTTGGGAGGCAGAGGCAGGAAGGTCTCTGTCTATACAGCGAGTTCCAGGATAGCCATAGCTACATAATAAGACCTTGGAGAGAGAGAGAGAGAGAGAGAGAGAGAGAGAGAGAGAGAGCGTTCAGTCTTAGATATTCAGAATCCTATTTCATAAAATCCAAACAAATCAAACAAACAAAAATAAAATAAACATCTGAGTTCCCTAAGGCATTGCAAAAACCCCAATCCTCCTGACATTTAAGGCCTCTAAAAACAATGACTTTTTAGTTAGAACTAAAAGTGGGGAAGGACTCTCTAAAGCATTAAAGAAACATATATTTTAAAATGTGTGTGTGTGTGTATGTATGTATGCATGTATGCATGTATGTATGTATGTATGTATGTATTACACCATATGTATGTGTGGCCAGTGCCCTTGGAGTCCAGAAGAGGGCACTGGATCCCCTGGAACTAGTGTTAGGAAAGGTTGTAGGCCACTAAGTGGATACTAGGGAACTGAACCCAGGTCACTGGTAAGAGCAGCCAGTGTTCTTAACCATTGAGACATCTCTCTAGCCCCTAAAGAAAGTTTTTTTTTTTTAATCCTCTCTAACTTTAACTTTGCAAAATTAAAAACAGAAAAACAAAGTGGGGTGGGAAGGAAGGAGTAGAGCAAAGGATCAGCAGTCTGGACTTCAGCTCTTGCTAGAGTCTGGGTGTGATAAAGTGTGTAGACCTTGGGGCAAGGTAGACCAGAAGGCCCCCCACATCTGTTTAGTCCTAACTTCCTGGGAGCCTGTAGACATTACTGCAGATCTGACTGGGTGGTTGGTCTGCTTTATTGCACACCTATGTCGGGCCAAAGGGGAATACTCTGCTCCTGTGCCCTAAGTGTGAAGCTGCAAAGCCTGGTGGTATAGTGAAACTAGGAGCTTTCAGTTCTTTATTTTCATTTCTGTATAAAAAGGAAAAAAACAAGCTTCTTCTAGAAAATATCAAACCAACTAAGAAAATTCTCCACACATCAACATTCAACTTCAGCCCACCTCCACTCTGCAGGATCACGGGACATGCAGGCAGGATGTGCATACAAAGATTTAAAAGGGCCAAGGAGATGGTTCAGCCAGTAAAGGTGATTGCTGCCAAGCCAGACATACTGAGTCCAATCCCTAGAAACCACACGGTGGACACAGAGAACAGACTCTGTAAGCTGTTCTCTGACCTAGACCCTTCTTCCCTCCCTCTCTCCCTCCCTCCTTCCTTTCTCCCCCCTCTCTCTCTCACACACACACTGCATACACTGTAAAATAAATAAATGCACTTTTATTGTTTTGATTTTTCAAGACAGTGTTTCTCTGTGTACCTTTGTAGACCAGGGTGGCCTCGAACTCACAGAGATCTGCCTGCCTCTGCAATACACTAACAATTACTATGAATGAATAGATTTTAACATTTTTAAGTACGAATTTACAAACGTGCAATCATATGTAACTACTAACCCCAAGAACAAACGGAAGTATTTGAACAAGCAACTCAACAAAAGCAATAATAATTAAAACAAAACAAAAGAGCTAGGTGTGGTGGTGTTTGCCTTTAATCCAAGCACTCAGGTGGCAGGCAGATCTCTGTGAGTTCAAGGCCAGCCTGGTCTACAGAGTGAGTTCCAGGACAGCCAGGGCTACACAGAGAAACCACATCTCAAAAAAGAAACAAACAAACAAAAACAACAAAAAGGAGAATTTATTGAGTTGTATACTCACTTTTACACATACTTCCAAATTTTGTTTTTCCAGTCTTCCCAACCCCTTGTTTCAGGGAATACAAATTAAGTTACACATAGGAGCAATAGATCACATATGCTCAAACGCAGTAAACTCACAATAAAGACTTGGGCATCTTTCCCTCCTCAGTGTTCTCGCTGAAGATATCTGACTTCTTGGGGTGGCTGTGGGTCCTCCTGAAAGTACTTCTACCCTAAAGACCAAACCATGAGGAACACTAAAGTACACCTAAGACATTACCCTGGTGATTTTTTTAAAAATGATTTATTTTTAAAATCTATGTGAATGCGCGCGCGTGTGTTTGTGTGTGTGTGTATGTGTGTATGTGTGTGTACCTGTGTGAGTATATGTTCATTACATGTGTGCAGAAGCTCAGAGACACCAGAAGAGGGCGCCAGAGCCTCTGAAACTGGAGTTTCATACAGTTCTGAGCCACTATGTAGGTGTTGGGAACTAAACTCCAGTTTTCTTCAAGAGCAGTGACTGTTCTTCAACACTGAACCACATATCCTGGGTTTGTTTTTAAAGCATCTGTATGCTGTGGCATGCACCTGAAATTCTAGCACTTGGGAGGCAGAGGCAGGAGGATTATCACAAGTTTGCGGTCAGCCTTATGTACACGGCAAGGGACTCTATCTCCAAAAAAGCAAGATAACAAATAAAATAAATAAATAAAGCAAAAATCAGTGATACCCAGAGAAAGCTACAAGAAAATGCCTGTCCCGGACACACTACCGCATCCAATAGCCTGGACAGACCAACTCTGTTGTATTTGCTCATTTATGAACGAACCAGTTTATCATGTCTCATCTCCTTGTTTATAAACAGGTAGCTGGACTGCTGTTAGCAACATCCAAGTGATGAAAGTCAGGCCCCATGAAAGCCCAGCAATATCACTTGCTACCACGTGTGGCTAAACATGTGCACATTCAGGCATGTACATCTCCTGGTCTCTTCATATCAGTTTCTGTCACTCATTAGTCCATCTATAACACACACCGTGAGAACACTGCAATGTGTGTGTGTATGTGTGTGCCCTTGAGGGTCCCAGCACACAACAGTACTGAGTCGCTTGGAGAGGTTAACACATATTCACATGAAGTATCCCAGAGCCAGTGAAATTAAAGGGTACCATATTCTTACTAATAATATAGATGAGCTATCATCTGCATACAATTTGCATGAATCACAAAGCTTAAAAATAAATAAAACTATGCCATATGTTCAGCTAAAATGCAACAAAAATACATAAATAACAATCCAGTGTGTGAAGTTAGCACACCAATGAAGGTAGTAGGAAAGAAACGGCAAGGTTTGTTTTGCTTTGTTTTCTTTTGAATGACCAGTTTCACATGAATTCAGAAAAACGAATTAGGGAAAAGGAAATGATTGTGCTATTATTATTACCTGATCATGGCAATGAGAAAGAAGTGAGGCCTATGAAGAGGTGTGTGCAGAATAAATTGCCCGGCCTGCTTACATGAGACAAAGTTTTCAGTCCAAACTCCTTACTTAGCGCACTCTTTCTTGCCTTGGTTTTTCTACCCGTAATGGTGAAGGCTAGTATTCCTTTAGTGGACACTGCCAGCAATTCTTTCTTTGAGAAGTACATCCAGGTCTCAACCCATTTCCTTCAGCCCTGACAATCACAGTATGCAAACTAAATGACTGGTGAGCCAGTGACTTTGACTTTAGTGTGTGTTCACATGGTTCCTTTATTAAAATGCATTGAAAACTCCAGAGTCTCATTCATAGTGTGAAGATTTAGCACTAAATGGCCATTGCTTTTGTGCAACATAACACTAGTAATCTTGATGGAGCAATGTGGTCTATTAGCTGAGACCCTGACAAGAAGAGTTTCCGTGTAAACTGTGATTCACAGTGATGGGGGGTCAGGACCAACTATTACATCTGCACTGCTTACAGCTGGCTTAGAGTGACACCGACCTTAGTAACATTTCTCCTTTTATGACAACCCAGACAACACCCAAGAATGACTGCTGTGCCAAAGGCTAAATAAATATCTTTTTGTTTTTTAAACCTGTGGTACTGAGGGAAAGTGGAGAGCTATGGGTTCTAACATTGAGAGTATGAAACCATTTCTGTTATCATTTTATGTTAGAAATTCTTGGCTATCTGAATGTTGGATTCTAAGATCACTCAACAAAAATACTAAACAACACAAGCTCTCTCTGTTATCACATACACTTTGGAAGTTATTTCAAGAAAGTGGGGAACCTAACTAGGAAGAGAAAACACACTTAGGGTTCCATGAAGTTGTTAAGATAAGGGAGATGACAGGCACAAAAATTAAGCCGAGGATAGAGAAATGTGCAAAGTTTTTTCAAATAATATTTTTGCTTGTCTCTAGCTCCATGATACAGTTTAAATTTGGGCCAACTTTTTAAAGTATTTGTTAAACAGTTCCCACATGTGACATATGTTTCCAGGATACTTCTGACATTGATATGAGAAATTATAAAACATTTAGAAACGAAAATGTTAGTCTCAAAAATAACACTGTTAAGTTCCAAGCTTCTTCTGAATTCGTTAAGACGGAAAAGCATTTGGAGAATGGTGTCTTTCTGCTTTAAAGTGTTCAAATAATGTGCCCAACAACATCCCACAACAACAGAACTGGGAGAGCCAAGGCAAAGCCAAGGCCAAACAAAGCCAGGTCCTAAAGTTTACTCTCGGTGTCACTATTTTGTGTGTGCGGTCCCCGTCCTGTTTACTCCGTAAGTAGACTGCTTTATCCCTTCAACTGGAATATAGTTCATCCCACCAACACGACGACAATGCCACTGCAGGGCTCACCCAGGGAAAAACACATGAATAAGAAGTCGTATCAACTCAACCAAATGAAGTGTGAGCAAGGATTGATTTGCAACACATTAATTCAGAAACTCAGCCGAGAGGCTCCTACTATATCTAGCTGATCTAAACTTGAGCTCGTGATAACACTGTACAAAGCTATGGTAGATGAAAGTGATAGGCAATGCCAACAGAACAATCCCACTGACAACACAAACTCCTCCAAGAATTCTTCCAGGCACTGTGATAGGATACATATCTCCATAGCCAACTGTAGTCATGGAGATTATCACCCACCAGCAGGCAGCGGGGATGCTGGCGAAGTCCTTGTTGGATGTTTCCAGGTCCAACCCATGTTCAAGAAGCTGAGAAAGTGCACTAAAGATCGCCATGGCAACACAGATGAAGACAAGCAACATAACCATCTCTCGGTAGCATCGCTTGAGAGTCAAACCCAATGTCTGCAGACCAATGAAGTGCCGGGCCAGCTTAATCACCCAGAAGATCCTCATCATTCTGAGGACCCTCAAGGTGACTCCAGCCCTCTGGAGTTGAGAGTTCTCGCCTGTGAACACTGTCATTAGCACAGAGATGTAATAGGGTGTGATTGCCAGTAAGTCAATGATGTTCAGGGGTCTCTTGACAAACTCACACTTGTTTTTGGAGACGATGAACCTCACGATGCACTCTGCGGTGAACCAGCCTATGCAGATAGCTTCAATTATCCTGTCAGGAGAACAAAGAAAGAATTGATCACTTTATTTTTAAGCCTTTTAATAGCTCTCAGATTCTTCAGATAGTACTACACTGACATATTAATTCAGTCACTTTTCCAGAAAACATGAAGAACAGACAGTGGTAACATCAGACCCACCAGGACAGCAACACTACAGTAAGTACTACGGTGATAACTGGATTTCAAAAGGTTCTTGTCCATTAGCCTTCAGGAAACCCTGTTTAAAAAGAGTAGGGCTTTGTTTTTTTTTTTTTCCCATCATTAGCACTTGAAAAAGAAATCTCTCTCCTATTTGGTGGTGTGAACTTAGCTTAAATTGATCTAACCATGTGAGATTTCACATATTCTCTGAGGACAATGGTCCCCAAGCATGGATTCAGCAATGGAGGGTAAGACAGGAGGATTCTGTTCCTAAAAAGAAAAAAAAGAAAAAAAAAAAGTCCTAAAATTTGACCCTTCCTTTACCACCGCCCTCCCCACCCACAGTAGGCTTGTGTGGGAGACACTGAGGCTGAGGAAAATATTATGAATTGTACGAATGACCACTGCAGGGAAATTCCTGGTTTACTTCCCTTAGTCTGGAAAACAGGCTAAGGACTCCTGGGCTGGGCCAAACCATTACTTAGATCTCCCCAAAGAACACAACTACTTGGTTTGTTACTTTATGCTTTTTTAAAATGCAGCATATGGGTTTCTTTAAGATTTATTTATTTTATTTTATGTGTATGGATGTTTGCCTGTGTGTATGTATGTACAACACATGTGCGCAGTACCCACACTGTCCAGAAGAGGTCATCAGATCCCCTGGTACTGGAGTTATATAGACACCTAGAGTTACAGCCACCATGCATGTAGGTGACAGGAATCCAACCCAAGTCCTCTGGAAGAGCAACAAGTGCCATTATTTCTCAAACTTCCTACACCACTGTCCATATTGAAAACAATATTTGCAGAGCACCTTAGAGCTAAGGGACAGACCTATTAGAAGAAGCTGACACTTGGAGGTTCTGCCCAACCCCTGCCCCCTAAGGCTAAAGAAAGAAATCCAGTTTTAGCATACTGGTTAGGAAGACCTGACCTGGAAGAGCAGCTAATCCAGAGGTAATTGTAAACTGACTTAAACATTTTAATTCCAAGCTAAAGTGACTGTTAGTATTCCATTGTTCATTTTTCACACATAACCAAGGAAGGGGATAGAAGCAGGTAGACAGCATTGTGAAAAGAATTACTTGATGGGAGATGCCCTTCTGTATATATGTTTCTCTTTTTGGTTGATGAATAAAACAGTGATTGGCCAGGTGAAGCAGGAAGATACGTGGGACCAGGAGACAAGGAGAATTCTGGGTAGAGAGAGGCTGAAAGGAGACGCCATGCAGCCCAGGAAGGAGTAACATGCTGGACCCTTCTCTGCTAAGACCACATGGAAATACTTAGATTAACAGAAATGGGTTAATAATTAAGATAGAGAGATAGCTAGTAAGAAGCCCTAGTCATTGGCCAACACTTTTATAATTAATATGTCTCTGTGTGTTTATATGGGGTTGAAGAGTGGCAGGACCTGGAGGGACAGAAACCTCCATCTTCAATTACTGTAAGTTCAAATCACAAAACCCAAGATGCCAAGGACATCACTTGAAAATGAATAAATACAATTAACTAAGTTTCCTTATTATGTGGCTTTCCAGGGCCATGAAGATGATAAACTTTATTAATTTTTACCTATTTTTCAGTAAGTATATTCATCTTCACATGGCTCAAAACTACAACGCCAGCTAGGCATTGTGGCACATGCCTGTAGTCTTGGGGCTTGTGGGATGGAGGCATGAGGATCAGGAATTCATGGCTAGCCTCTGCCACATAGCAAGTTAGAGGTCATCCTGGGGTTCATGGAACCATACCACCCCTGCCAACCCCCCCACCCAGCCCCCGACACACAAAGAATACAGAAAGGGAAATCTCAGCCAGGCCTGGTGATGCATGCCTACTGTACACCAAGAAAATTTCAGCCAGGCCTGGTGATGTGTGCCTACTGTACACCCTGAAGCTTGGATGATGAAGAAGGAGAATTACTATAGCTCCTAAGTGAAGGACCAGCCACAGGGAGACTCTGAAACAGAATCCGATAGTCTCATTCTCATACTATTTCCAAGCCACCCCGTTACCCTCCCTGGAGGCAAGAAATGCAGTAGTTTCTTATAAATGCTTTCAGGGTTATTTTATGTATGATACAAACAAGTAACATTTGTAGTGTGTGTGTTCTCAGCATCTCTTGGGGATCACTTCTTTCAGGTCACTGAATCAAAAGTTTTCTCAATGGCAGGGGTGGGTATGGACAGGTGGGGGGGGTTCATGCATTCATGTACCTATATATTATTCTCTAACTTATTCCCTTGAGTCACTGTTGCTGAACCTAGAGCTTGGACAGAGGCCAGAAATCCCCCTCACACCTCCTGTTTCTGCCCACTGGAATTACATGTGTGTGTACAGCCATGACCAGCCTTTTACATGGGTGTTGAGGATTTGAACCCAGGTCCCTATACTTTCACAACAAATACTTTTACCCACTAAACCACTGGTTCTCAACCTGTGGGTCGCGCCCCCATAGGGATCATGTATCAGATATTTACAGCGTGATTCATAACAGCAGCCAAACGGCAGCTATAAAGCAGCAACGAAATAATTTTACAGCTGGGGGGGGGTCACCACCACCTGATGAACTGTATTTAGGAAGGCTGAGAAGCACTGCACTAAATCATATTCCCAGTGCCTAAGCTTTCTCAATTATTGTCAAGTGTGATAGCATGTTGCAAGATATTTGATTACACGGTGTAAAGAGATGCTACTGTAACTGGCTTAATAAAGAGCCAAATGGCCAATAGCTGGGCAGGAGATATAGGTGGGACTTCAGGACAGAGAGAGCTCTGAAAATAAAGGGGGCATCTCCAGCCAGACACAGAGGAAGCAGGACATGCAGGAGGAGAGGTAAATGCCATAAGCCACGGGGTAGCATGTAGATTAACAGAAATAGGTTAGTTTAAGTTACAGGAGCTGGTTAGGAAAAAGCCTAAGCTAAGGGCAAAGTTTCATAATTAATAAGAAGTCTGGGCTGGAGAGATGGCTCAGAGGTTAAGAGCACTGCCTGCTCTTCCAAAGGTCCTGAGTTCAATTCCCAGCAACCACATGGTGGCTCACAACCATCTGTAATGAGATTTGGTGCTGAACACTGTACACATAATAAATAAATAAATATTTTAAAAAAAAGTCTCTGTGTCATTATTTGGGAGCTGGCTGGTGGGACAGAGAAAGACCTGTTGCAGTGCCATATGCAGGGATGCAGTAAAGTTAGGCAGGAGGAGAATTATGAGTTCTGGACAAGCATGGGATACATGCCGAGACCTTTGTGATGGGGGGTGTTCTTCTGCGTATGTGTTTCTCTTGTTGGTTGATGAATAAAACACTGTTTGGCAAATGGAGGCAGGAAGATAGGTGGGATTAGGAGATGAGGAGAATTCTGGGAAAGGTAGGCAGAGAGGGACAGCAAGGAGATGCCATGCTGCAGAAGGAGTAACATGGTGGATTACAGACAAGCCACAGCTTCAAGGTAATACATAGATTAATGGGAATGGATTAATAGTTAAGACAGAGCTAGCCAAAAAGAAGCTCTAGCCATCGGCCAACAGTTTAATGACTAATATAGAGTCCATGTGTTTATTTGGGACAGAAGCAGGGCAAGGGGGACCTGGTGGGACAAGGAAACTCCAGTAACAACCTTGCCTCCAAAAAAGGGAAGAGAAAAGGTGGGGAAAGAGGGAGTGGGGCGGGAGGACACCCACACACACTAGGGGATGAGCAAGCTGCGTATACTAACATCAGCAATTGGGGGTAGAAACAGGAGAATCAGGAAGGGGCTCAAGATCTTACAGGCAACACAAATTTAAATATTTTTAAAGGTTCCTTATTTTAAAAAAAAATGATTTATTTATTTATTATGTATACAGTGTTCGGCCTGCATGTATGCCTGCAAACCAGAAGGGCACCAGATCTCATTATAATAGTCATGAACCATCATGTGGGTGCTGGGAATTGAACCCAGGACCTCTGGAACAGCAGGCAGTGCTCTAACCTCTGAGCCATCTCTCCAGCCACATGTGTTTTTACTTTTTGAGACAGGCTCTCATACTATCGCCCAGGCTGATCTAGAATTCACTGGGTAGCTCAGGCTGGCTTCAAACTCAGAGCAATCTTCTTGTCTCAGCATCCTTAGTGCTGGGATTACAGGTATAGGCTACTAGGCCCAGTTGAATCTTCTTGCCTCTACATCAGTTCACACTGGGAGAATTTTTTGCTACATTTTGCCCAACTGCTCCCACAGAAGTTATACTAAACTACCCTCCCACCAGCCACACAGGTAGTACCCACAGCACTCCAATGTGAAGCAGCATGAAACTTAGAGATCTTGGCCACTCTGACAGATGGAAGCCACAGCCTTGTTTGAAAGGATGATGGGAGTATTTTTATGTGCTATTTTATGTTCCATGACATATGCCACTTGCTTCAGGCCTTTTATCTACTCCCATACATGATGGAGATACCACAGGGCATGCAAAGTGTCAAATCAAGTCTGTTTAGTTCTCGGTCTTGGGAAGCTGTTCACTGGCTTTGCCTATAAATGTAAGAGACAACAAGATATAGCCTGGGGTCTGAATCCATTCGGCGGTTCTTTTTCTTTGTATGACATTTTTTAAAAAAGATTTTATTTATTTATTATGTATACAACATTCTGCTTCCATGTATATCTGCACACCAGAAGAGGGCACCAGATCTCATAACGGATGGTTGTGAGTCACCATGGGGTTGCTGGGAATTGAACTCAGGGCCTCTAGAAGAGCAGTTAGTGCTCTTAACCTCTGAGCCATCTCTCCAGCCCATGTATGACATTTTTTTAATGGTTGGAGGAAAAGAAATTAAGATTCCATGACATGTAGTAACT